AACCCTTCAATTTCCTCTTCTCTGTCCTTCACGTTGAGTTTGCCTGCTTGTTAATTGATTACCAAAGCTGATCAGTTTGATTGATTTGTCTCCTTTATTGACAAACAGTGCATTGTAAATGTAAGACTCAGAAAGTTAACAGCTACAAACTCACACACGCACGATGTACAAACATTTTACTGTACACTGAACAGCACACACACATTATATTACACACGCACGCACACACACAAAGATGCACAGGCAGGTGTGCGCATACTCACATTATATTACAGTATTATAATACATTACAGTGGGATGCTCTGACTATATGAGCAGTAACACCTATAACAGTATCGTAGGTAAACAGAGAAAGGCAGACTACAGCTGATTACTGAGCTGTTTTTCTTTTTTTCAAGAGAAACTATACATTACATACATACTGAAAAGTATGGCAAGCAATTAGGAAATAAATTAAATTAAATAATTAAAAAAGAGAAAACCTTTTTCTGCATGTCCGGAGAGTGTATACAGCCAGACTGTTTTAGTTCAGATTAGTATGATGAAACACCGTCAATGACTGGACACATGGAACAAATGTTACCGACTAAAATGAGAGACAACAAACCACAGAATTAAACCCGTGCTTGATTCGCTTGTCTTTACACTGTTTTTTCAGTGGGAATGCAGACTGGAAGCAGAGTGAGTTGCACAGAGAGGTTGTGGGCATTAAGGGAAGAAAGAGGACAGCCGGGTAGAGCAAGGGAAAAAGAGAGAGAGAGAGACAAAAAGAGAGAGTAATCTCTCAACACCCAGCCTCATTTTTATTCAAACACGAGAGTCGAGCTTTGCCTCTCGCGCCTCCACCCCTCCTTTTTCTCTCTTCTTCTGTTATCCTTCCCTTCTCCCGTTGCCCCTTCCATTACCTATTCCCTTTCACTTTTTTCATCTCTTCCAAACTTGCCTCGTCTCATCTGCAGCCTCACCTCCAGTATCTATTACAGCAGAGCAACAGGAGAGGAGAACAGCAGCCGAGTCGGTCCAGTTTCCAGAAAATAACCGCAATTAAAAGATAAATCCACCCTAAAGCACTTGGAGGAGCTTCTGGTGACACACCTTGTATTTCTGGGCCTACTTTGTTGTTTAGAGGTGTATCTTTTCCTGTTTCAGTGGTTAATTGGCCAAATGTAATGTGACATCTTGTTGTTATATTCCCAGCACAGTTACAGCGGAGTGTGAATGGAGTTTTCTATCTAAAACATCTGCAGTAAATGTCAGGTTTTTGGTGTCAGTCCCTTTTGTCTGCGGCTTCCAGAGTGTAGTGCCATTCAACAATGCATAAAGAGAAATTCATTATATTTGTCTCCACTGGCAGTACTCCCAGCAGACCAGAATGCATCACAGCTTCAAAATGCTGAGTGTGTACAAAGGAGAGAGACTGTGGTCACAGATACACCCTAATGCTCACACACTGGTCGGGTACTGTATAATATGCTAACGTGCTGACCTTTTTCAGAACAGCAAGTGCTAAAGTATCAACACTTCATAACAAAATTGCATCCTTATAAACAACAAGTGTTACAAATGTAGAAAAATTTAAAGGATATTCACAGGTGGCTCCACCTTAAAACAGTAGCTGTGTCCAAAAACCAGACTATATAGATGCAGCACGCAAAAGTCAAACTTTTCCCATGGACAATGAGTCCATTTACACTGTCACTTCATGCGATCAGAGAGCTTTCCAATCTGAAAAAGTAAAAAAGCTAAGTGTAAATATGGCCACGAAGCATTTACGACAATTTGAAATTCGATTCTTAAAACCACCTCCTGAGAAACTCCCCTAATCATTAATAACAAACTACTCTGTTAGAAAATATCTGGTGAAAAAGTCGAAGCTTGTGTTCGTAAAAAAATTTGGGCCAGAAGAAGAACTTTCAATCCTAAGGTACATTTTGCCAAATACAACATCCAATCACAGCGGTTAAAATTCTGTTATTTAGGTAACCACTTAAATTCAACAGCTGTGTTCAACAGCAAACTCAAAAATCAGGGTCTTTTTCAGTCTACATGCTGACATACTTCCCACATACTTCCAGAGTGAACACACGACTCCATCTAAACCTGCAAAGATTTGTTATGGAGTATGGCACTGGGACACAGCTAGTGTAGGAAAACCTTTTATCTTCAAAAAGACATTTCCAAAAAACGTCAAGCATGGACTTTACTTGGAAGCTTGGTGATTTGTAGATCCTTCCTAAGAACCATTTAAAAAGCTCGATGTCAACTCTCCCCACTCTCAGTTAAAAAGGATTTAATATGTAATTTGTACTAGGAAATGTTAAGCGTTGATATAATAATCAGTAAAGTGTATTATTAGAGTCACATTCACAAACAGGGAACTCTCATATCAAAGGTTGTTCCTCTCTTTTTAGGGGCTGGATTTAGGGTGGATTAAACTTTTAATAAGCACTAACACCAAAAACAGTTTTTCTCCATACACTCTTAAAGCATTTCATCTTAGATTAATCTTTTTAAATATAGTGCATGATATACCAATAAACGATCACATTTTATGCAACAACGTGGACGAAACTTCCATCTGTTGTGTTCCTGAGATATCCTCTCTGCGGTGTATGTATGTGCTCAAAATGAGACATGTCATAGTGTAAACACGAGACGTGCTGCAGATCATTTATGCCTCCATTGTCTTTTCACAAACACTGACACAGGAACATGTGAAATGCCTCTGAAGGCTCACATCTAACCTTGTTAAATAGCAGAAAAGAAACATGAAGCAAAGGACATACACATCACATGTAGCTAAGGGTGTATTAAGATGTTGATAGCTTTCATTTCTGCAGGACATTTTTTTTTTTTTTAGGTGGCGTTCAATATGAGCTTTTAGACACACACTCGTCGTCTCACTGGCTTAAACTGTTTTTCCAGAGGCATCTATTTACAACGAATTATGCCTCTGAACCACCGACACGCTCCCAGTTGATCTCAATACTTCCTGATAAAATGTTCAATAAGCTATCGTTGCCAGGCAACAAATGCAATTCCGGCGAAAAGTGGAAACTGAAATGTTGGGAGGTTTAAAATAGTCGCGGACCTCTCAATGTCACAAATAAAGACTTCGGGCCGTCCCAGCAGTGGAGAGCAGTGGTGTGAGACAAACACAAACACATCGTTCTCTGCAGTACGTCAGAGTCATGCAGCAGTAAAACGTGTTGAAAGCAAACAACTAAATACTGTCACTTCTGTCATTGTGAGCACGGCTCGCAGGCAGATGACAACTAAAATCACGACATCCAATCAATGCAGACTGGTAATCCTTGGGATGTGGGTGCACACGCATGACCAGAGGTTTGAGGCTGAAGGCAGAGCTGTTGTTTCACAGCTGGTAATCTGCTCAGCGCTGAGATAAAAGAGATCTCCCGGTGCTCCTCCACCACGGTGCCCCAGAGTGAGATCAGACCTTCTTGATATCATATTATGTGGAGACTAGTGAGTCAAACATCACATTTGAGCACTAAAACATGATAAATACGCCAGTTATTTCCTTCATGAGCCCACCCCCCTAAGCATTTTGTATTTGACTATCTTTTTCTTGTTGCATCTTTTCTTTTCTGAGAAATTAGTCTTTGTTGCTTGTTAAATGGATGTTGCGTCACGCCCCGGCATTGAAAAGGTTGCTGTCCTCAGATGGATGAGAACGTGGATAGGTCACTTCATGTCATTTCATCTGCAAACTGACACAACAGTATTAATCAGTTCTGTCAATTGGGAAATGTGACTGTCAAAACAGACTCTGACAACAATGACATGTCCGGCAGCCAATGAATAAAAAATGGAATTCATACAAAGGCTCCTGCCTGCCTTCCTGCCTGTTGCTGTGGAGTGATGATTACCATCTGGACGGCAGCCATACAGTTTTGACAGAAATTAGATTTGTTCCATGTTTCGTGGACAGTACATGAACATTGGATTTCTGGTTCGTTCATGCGTTGTATTAATTTCTGACTGGCAGACAGCTTTACAATTCGCAGCCAAATCACAAGAACATTGGATGAGAATACCTTTTCTGTCTTTTGAGATTCTCTGGTCACTGCTGTGTGTTCACAACAGGTGTGTCTCAGCAGCTGGTAATAACTCAGCCACAGATACAGTTGCCTTTCTTCCTAGCATGGGAAAAAGACTGGTTACACTGCTATGGTTTAATATTTCTTTATCAGATTTTGTTGTCTGTAATTGCCTTTACTGAGAGGGCATTTGTGCTGACTATAAAACATCATCCATTATGAGTTCCCTCTGAATTAAGTATTTTAAGTAGGCCAGGCATTGCTAGCTCTCTGTGTGGAAGTTTATCTTTCCATGGCTGCATGGAAAGTACAAAAGATAGAACTGTGAAACCTTTTTTTTTTGTCCGCAGTCCACACCACTTTAAAGGTTTGTTCCAGTGATGAGTCAGGCAGAGGCAGATAATTATAGAGAACTCACAAATACTCCAGTTACAATTAATTGTTCGATGCTGTTGGCAAAAGTGAAAGCAAATGAGCAAATAGGAAAAAAACTTCCCATATCATAATATGTACAGACTCTTCAATATGAAGATATAATTCACAAAGTCCCATTTAACTGTTGGCTCTTGTCTGGATGCAAATGATACTGATGTTGTCTCAACAAAACTGGAGATAACAAAGCCTGCATTAGGTCTTGTCTCCGGAAACACTGTTTTAAAGACTTTTTTGTCAAGCTTTTGGCCCAGTTTGTGTCCCTTCATATAAATATCAGTTTCCTCTTCACAGTAGCAAGTTTGTGTGATTTATCCTAACATAAAAACCAAGCCATGTCGTCCTTGAATCAAACAGTCAAGCTGCCCTGTAGATTTCAGTGATGGAAGTCAAAGTTATCTTGCAGGCATATTTTGGATCTGAAAGAATGGGTGTTTGTGATTGTACCCCTTATAGTCAGACAAAAAAAAAGTCCAGACACTAGTTTTTTTTGTAGTCAGTCACAAATCATGCCTTCCTTGTTTTTCTCTTGCACTATCTCTGCATTCAACTCTCTCCTGGATGCATTCAGTTTCAATCAATTTGGGAAGCTAAATGGTATGAGTGAAGTCTGTCCAATGACTGAAGGAGGGACCGGGTGACTGCTGATTGACTGGTGATTGTTGAAAACATGTGGTTTATATCTCCAAGATCAGCAGACTGAAGTGTATGAGTGAAGATGACAGCCTGCTCGTTCAGACTGTACACGTGTCAAATATTTCATACTGTATCGCTCCCCTGTGTGGTTACACGGATTCAGTAGGAGACTGGTCATCGATGTTGTGCCTCATTGACTGAACACTGGTCAGGATTTTCTTCTGGTGTCCGGCTAGAGACACTCCAATCCTCTGAAGATCTCTGGAAAAACACAGAAAGAAAGAGGTACAGATATTAACACGGCTACTATTAGGTGCTACATGTAGGTATTTAACAACAATAAATCATTACTGCATTAATCATGAGGGGTGCTTGAATTGGAATTGAAAAATGTGCCAGTGCTCTAAATTAGCACTGCATGAACAAGCAGCGTATATGGATAAAGACTGTTTTTGACTAGTTTGATTAAATAATGACAAAGTTGTAGGCTATGTTTAACTAATCATTTCCAGAGAAAAAAAATCTCTCAGCTTTTTAACTTTAAATTTGCATTCTTTTTTGTGGGTATAAAACTAACACAACAATCTTCTTGATTAAATGTACTGTTAGAAATTGTACTTTATGCAGGCATGTAAAAAAAAAGTGAGGTGAAATATAATAATATAATATGTATAATTGTTTTTTATTGATTATATATTTTGTCTGAGGCAAATGCTTTTAACCCCCAATGGAAAGAAAACATGCCTATATATTCCATATAAGGTCACATACCTCACTTTATACTTGGCTATATGGGAAGATTCCTCTTAATAGGATCTGAGATGGGCCTGAATTTTAATATATTAACACACACGTTTCAAATAAAGTTCACTAGCTCGTATCTGCTGTCTCTACACTGGTACTATGTTAAAGCATACTTAATTAATCCCTGTGGGAAAATCCATCTTCTTATGTCCGACCCACAGTGCAGCGTACAGGGACCAACAACAAAATGCATACCTACAGGACATTATACTAAGTAAATGAAGCTGAAACTTCCAGACCTTTTCTTACGATGGCAGATGGCGAAGAGGGAGAAATGTTGATTAAAAGTCTCAGTAAAAGAGGGAAAAAAACACATGCAGAAACACCAGGTATGCCAGGTCTGGGAAGAAGCTACATGAAAGCCAGAGTTTGTGGGACATACAGGTTTGGTTTAAAGAAACAACTGCATCAGTACCACTTGTAGGTAAGAGGCTTGTTATTATTTTGACAGCGGTTCAAATTGTTTACAGCAATTACAGTTTATCACTATATATTTATACCAGAGATATACTGACGTTCTGTAATGATACTCAAAGCATTTTACAGCATGATAAAAAGAGGAAGAAAGGATGGAAGTTAGTAATCCCGGGAGCTTGTTCAGAGAGACAGACAGGCGTGCACATGGACCAGCAGTCAGCCAACCAGTCTGCCAGTTGTCCATCTAATAAGACACAGACTTGGCAGGTGAGCTGTGTGAGACGTAAGCAGGGATAGACAGACAAAAAAAGAAAGAGGCAGCTAAACGGGTAGACTTACTCGGCTGTGATTTGTGTGATGAGCGGCAAAGAAGTGAACCCCGAGCCCAGGAAGGAGTCTCGATACTGGGTCATCTTCAGTGCAGCCAGCCAGTCTTCCACAGAGCTCACCCTGCTGAGGTCTGGAGCTCCACGGTCTAACAAGGGATGATGGGAAGGACTGCAGACAGTGGGTACAATAGGAGAGACAGGAAGGTGTAAGGAAACTAAAGTACTTGTTTCACTGATACAGAGGAATGACATAGCAAGAGTGTGTTTGTATATGTAAATGAGTTTGTCTCTCTCTCCTCACCCAGGGGCGATGTTGTTGGTGCCGGCTTTCAGAGATGCGGGGTTGCGTATCATCTTGTCCAACATGCTGACAATATCAGGGAACTTTGGCCGTGCGTTCCTGTCTTTCTGCCAGCAGTCCAGCATCAGCTGGTGCAGCACTACTGGACAGTCCATTGGAGCTGGCAGCCTGAAGTCTTGCTCGATGGCATTTATCACCTGGGACACGTAAAGAGGGAAGGAGAGAGACACATGGTTAGTGAAAAATCACTGATCTATTGTATACTTCAGCAGTAAGTGATTAAAGTTGCTATAATCAATATGCTCACATTGACAATGGATCAAACAAGTGTAATGTGAAAGATTTCTCTCATAGTAACAAACTCACAAAGAATTGTAACAGACTGTTAACATAAGAAAGACAATCATGAGCTCTACAGGAGATTTCAGCTTATTGATTCAGTTTCACAGACTTGGTTGAGTCTCTCCACGCTCATCAGTGTTGTTTCCAGACGTAGCAGGCAGCTGTTTTCAGCAAAAATGCTTTGATAAACAGATTGTATGCTACCTGCTCAGAAACCAAACAGCAAACAGACAAAGTTAGTGACTAGCTGCTGAACATAGTGTAGCATTTAGTAACTAAAGAGCCAGATATTTCCCTTAGGAGTTGGTGGAGAAAAAAAAAGAACTAAAAAAAGAGTAATAATTGGACGGTTACACAACTCTAAATAAATGCTAACGTCGCTTCATATATGCATGATTTGTAAATAGGCAACTGTTTGCTAATGTATTTATTATATTAATATTATGGGATGATATTATGCCAATGTTGTGCGTGTTCTTCCCAAGTGGCCAGAAAAATTACTTCTTTATATCATAATATTTAAGATACAGTGAAATGGCAGTTAAAGCACCTTATAGCTTCCATAATGTTCTGAGTGTAATGGAATATGTGGGCAGGGTATAATTTTGAGATTTGATCAAATCATTCAAGGATTTGATAGCTAGAAAGTGGTCTTGACTTAATGAGCACAGAGTCTCTGGGGAACTGCCGCAGTTTGAAACTGGGTTCAATTGTACAGGAGTGTTTGCCTCCACCCACACCTCCATCACCCACATTGTTGGCTGAGGATGGAGAGAAAGAGGGAGAAATGAATAAATTCCAGCCACTTAGACTGCATCCACGGCAGGTTTGGAAATGTAAACACAATTTCTGCATACTGATATCCAAACACTCGTGTGACCTATGATATTGTTCCACTAACTGCTACGACACACAAGTTAATGAGGTCAAGTGTAGTTTCATATACTTAGCTGGTGGCCGTAAACTCACATATAATTGGATAAATAATGTATATGGCCATCACTGCAGGATAAGTTATGAAAAATATTTACAGGAAGGGAAAATATATTAATTTATATATAAAAATTCTGTTTTTTAAACATATATATGACATTCTCACAGACAGTTGTATGTTGTTGTTTTTTTTTTTACAGACTTTTCAAGTAGGGGAAATGGGGGATACAAGTGACAGAGGGAAGAACATATTCTGAAAGAAATTTATTTTTCTGATATTACATCAGTAAATTGCACTCAGCATGGTGCTGGTCTATGATGCTAAGGATATCAAAGGGAAGAAAGAGGCAAAAACATCCAAAGTTGAGTCCGCCTCTCTCGCTGCTGTTTAGGGGACACTTTATATTTTGCTGTCAAGTTGTGATTTGTGACTTCCTGTTGGCAGAGAACAGTTCGCTGGGGGAGGGGGTATTCTCTGTCACAGCTCCTCTGTGATTTTGGCTGATGAGACAGGTGTATTTTTATGGAAGAATTTTGCCTCGTTCAGCTATTTAAAACCACAGAAAAAAAAAATATGAAAACTTGGGATTAGTTAGGAGGATTCAATTTCCATTCGAGAACTTCATCCTGACAGTGTGCAGTCACTCAGTATGTACAGATATTCATCACTACGAAGCAATGACGCCTGCCGCAGTCTCTGATGTCAAGGCAGGTAGTTTTACAAGAGGAGCTTCTGATTTCATTATGCCAGTGCAGGTATTGAGAACGATAAGGACCTTTCAAGGTTTTTCCTGTGAAAACTTTTAGGCAGGAATTTTGTATTGCAGAGAGGTTGTGCTAAATTTGCCAGCATACCTTTGGGTGCAGAATGCAATTATCCTGAAAAATCACAAAATACAGAACTCCTTTTGCCTTGTCACCCTACAGAAATGATCAAAGAAAGAAAATATCAAGTGCAGTTATCACAAATTATTCTGCCCCTTGTGTCAGAGACGTGAGAATAACATTTTAAATGCCTCACTAACTCTAATTATGATGGTTGTGATGTTTAAAATTCACATTGTTGTGTAATGTAATGGCTCAAACAAGTGGGTGAGGACATGTTCTGTATTTGTAAAGCCTTCAGATTATATCTATCTTTCAGCTTTTTTCACACATCACATAGTTACTAACATCTTTCTTCTCACCCTCCACACTTTATTCTTTGGAGGCCCAGTGAGTGTTTTGTGGCTTTACAAAACTGCAGAAATATTCACACATAACTGTAAAATTTCTGTTATAGATGGCACATAAGCTTTTTGTGCAGGTTTCAAGGAATCAGTTCAAAATCAAATTACCAACTTTAATTATGTAAAGAAAAACTGTTTAATCAGAGTCTGCAACCTTTGTAATGACAACTGTCAGCATCAGTATCATTTGAATTTGGTCATTATTATATAGTGTTTTTTGTTTGTGCTTAAGGTCATTACATTTTCTGTATTATCTTCACTAGGTGTAAGGAGAGGATCATGTGTGTCTTCATGTGTGTGTGTCTATGTGTGCACAGCTAATTTAGCATACTACTGGATCCATCAGCCCCATATTTTTCTACACATTTATGACCAAAGACCTCCCGTGGTTGCAGTGATTCGTAATGTTTCAAAAAACCTTGAAAAACCTACTACTTTATTGACTGCTCTATTTAATACCTGACTTTATAAAGTAGTAATATTCTGGATATTAAACCTGTGCCATTTAAATATTTAAATAAAACCCTTTGAACCTGTAATCGTTTGTCCTGTCTCTAATAGACGTTTGATGCTCAATCTTTCTTTTTTCAGTACATGTTCAACAGATACCTTGCAGTTACAAGTCTCACATTTATCTGACACTGTCCTTTTTATATAGGGTGTATAAAGTGACTGTAGAGGAGCCGGAAGGGACAGTTCTTTGTTCGGGATGGGAGAGGCAGGTCGGTTTATACAGTTTGGCAACCAGGGCGCTCAGTACCTTACCTTATACCTTTACACTATTCCATAGCTCTTACAGAAAACTGACTATACTACACAAGCACTTCTCTGCATAAGAAACATACATTATACTACACAATACAAAAAAAACTTCACTGGTTGCATCTGGCAGTTGCTTCACCATCTGTTTTCTGGTGGACATCTGCGCTCTACTGCACTACTCCAGTTGTACCTTTTTTGTCTGCCGGTCACTAACTGTCTCTGGCATTCCATACCCTGCCATCCCCCCTTTGTCTCCAGTGTATTTCCACCATTCCCCATTGCCTGACGTCCACATCCATCTGCACACCTGCTCCTCATTCCCTCATTATCTTCCCCAGTTTACCCGCCCCGTTAGTTGCATCGCGCGAAAGTGTTCCAGTTCCTGTCTGACTTATTTTATAATCTCTGCCTGTTTCTGGACTTTTGCCTGCCAGCTTTTGCCCCATCGGACTTGTCTGCCTCTCTTTGCTTTGATCAATGACCTACAGCAATAAACTCTCTCTTAACTCCACCTGTTCTGTGATTCAAGCTTTTGAGTCCAAACCTTGCCTATTTGAGCCGGGTGTGCACTGTGTCTTGAGTTTTGATGTTGCTGCAATGTATTTGTTCACATTTTAATGCCCAATTGTTCCTTTACCAAAGTTCCTTGAAATAATACATCAACATGTCTTTCTCAGAGCTTCCCGCAGATTTAAAGTTACAAGCCCGTGTCAGTGTATTTGTAAGCCTACATAACAGTAAGCTGAGGGAATGCGGAGCTTCTACTACTGTAAATTCAGCACCAGGGATTTGTCTGCGTGCTGGGTGAACTCTACTTGACCCCGACACACTTCTCAGGCTTTGTGCCGCATAAATTCTCTCTAAGCATGGCTGTCAATCAAAATAGCAGCAAGTGTAGTAAAACATCACAGGTCTCTTTCATGATTAATTCATGTCGAACACAGCACCTGTGGTGGCTCCGCTGACAATTTCACCGTTCGGTGTTCTTTGAAATCTTGTGTGTGCGCCTTTATGCGCGCCGGCATGCATGTGTGCAGTTTAGCTGTGTGCGTGTAGTATGTGTGAGTTTAGGGTGTGAGGTTCATGCATAGTTAATGCCCCAGCAGACCCTCGTTAGCTATAGTGGTAACACACACTTTCACCATCATTATACACTGTCTGTGCCATTATAAAACTGTCTCTGTCATTATACTGACTCTCTGTCATTACTGCTGCATAGACTGCTTCTATTGCTCAGGATCAACCATCGGGGAATGAGGGGTGAGGCTGCAAGGGAGGAGGTGAGGAGAGACAGCAGGGGGGAGGTTAGAGGCAGAAGGAAAGTGTGAAATAAGGGGCAAGAGACGGTTAAGGTGATGTAGATGCTAGACAGGGAAATGGTTCTTTGCAGACAGAAATTGTCAAATGATTTAGTTTTATTAGCTGAAAATGTTTGTCTGTCTTAATGTTAGAAGAAGATCTTGCTGTTGATCAGTGGGACAGATAACCAGATCCAGAACTTCACATATAGTCCATGTTAATGAGGTCTAAAGCAGGTTAAACATTGCACTAGTGTAGCTGGTCTCAAAAATGTTACTTGGAAAAATAAGACAAAACAGCTTATTAAGAATATTTTCCATTTGATAAGCCTGTCAGAAATGTTTTGGAAGATTTTCTGAAGCAACAAAAATGTATTTTAAAGGTTAAAATCATCACAACCTGGAGGCTGGTAAAATTCCCAGGCTCCTGTGTGTCAAAGCCATTAGATATATAGTTTCAGAAAGCAAGAATTGGGATTTAGAGCCTCAGAGCTTTGATGTGGGTTTTAGTGCCAAAACTCGCTATAATCTCTGTATCACATTTCTTCTCGGAATAGAAACCTAAAAATAAAAATGTCAGCAATCCGATCTTCTGGAACCTCCTTTTCCATGTACTGTACGTGATCCCTTTAGGTTTAAACAGTAAAATTGAATACTCAGCCTGAAGAAAGGATGAGACAGTAGTTTTTATAATATATTTGAACAGCAGAGGACTGTGCACACACCAGGAAATTAAATGTTCATCTGCAATTTTCTGTAGTGGTAATAATTGTTCTTAAGTTGTACTGAAGTAGCAGATCACCTGACATATATGGTTAAGCTACGTTTGAGTAAAAAATATGTTAGAAATGAACAGAACAATACTTTCCACTCATATCTTAGGATGTTATTATAAGAGAACATACTATAATTACCACAATTTTAATTATCTATTAACTCCCCCTGCTTTTTCATTCGTTTCTCTCTCTGAGACTCACTCTGTATTGAGTGTTTTGTTGGGGTGCTTGCTCTCCCATGCCTCTAGGCGCATGGAGAGCTGTTGGAGGTGGAAGCGCTGGCTGGTTTCTTTCTGTGCCCATGTTAACCAATTGGGATTCTCAGACGCTGCACGCTGTAGCGCAGAGCTCCGTGGCCAGGTCGCAATCTTCAGCGATTCTGTTGTCTGTTCTATTTTTGCGAGCCGCAAGCAAATCTGGCAATAAAAAACTCACTGAAAATCTATTATAAACAATATAAATGAAATATTAAAGGATGTGATTCTAAGAAATAATAAAATATACATCCTATGCTTGCCAACCTTTCTGATTTTTCCATCCCTCTCCCCATTGTTCAGTTTCGATTCCCCCGTTTCTTTTTTAACCCCACATGATGGAATATTAAAATCTGCCCATCCACTATACTTATCAGCAATAGTATCTTAATAGCTGTATATATCTTAGTGTATTCACTTCACTCCGTTCATTCTGTTTATGCTGTTCATAACTGTAATATATCCTGCTAGTATATTCATATATAATATCTAATAATGTATTTTTTTATATATCCTGTACAATATGGACATTACT